AGCTGTCTGTCTCCAGGTCAAAACACCTCACTACTTTTCATACACTTTACAATGAGATTACAGTATAAACAAATGCTTTTGATCTTTATTATTAATAATGACAGTCTCTGATTAGAGAAAATTGCAACATGGACCAATTCACTGCAGAGCTTTGTTATTTTTTAAATGGGGAATCTGTACTGGAAGAGGAAGGAACAACCAATTTCCCAAAACCCAATGCTTGCTTCATCAAGCAAAGATAATTATCGCACGAATCTGCAGGTAAACTGCATTCAGTGGGTGGTTTTCAGGTGTTGTTGTTGACTCGTGAGAGAATTCTAGAGATTGTTAAATATGGCAGGGACTTTTACTGTGTATTTAAAGACAGAAGCAGAACGTAACAGGTTGCCAATGTGGCACCTTCTCACCTGCTGGGATTACAGTGCTCCTGACCAATCACAATGATGGGACAGTCTCTGGACCTCCTGTCCATTACAAGTAATGTCCCATTCTGATCCAATGAAGAATCGAAGCTTCCCAGCCTCTCCAACTCAATCCCACATTTCTCACCTCCCTCTCCACTCCCCCTCACAGGAATTTTCCAGCTGCAGCTGTTGTGATCCTGGCATAAACATTTTATCATCATGTAAGACTTTAAATCTACAACAACAGCATTAGAACAGAATATGTTTGGAGGAATGCATCTGCATGGTGTTACTTGCCATAGTCATGTTACCTGTGTTAATTATTTTCTTTTTAGACACAGAAGCCATTAAAAGCCAGCACATAGAATATCTTTACATTTTCAGTTAAAATGTTTCGTTGAGTGAGATTCATGGCAGCCAGTCTGCCAAGGCCCAGTGTGGATTTTCTCACAATTGTCCGCTCTTCATCTCATTAATTACACACCACAGCGCTCTCTCGGAGAATCACACAGCCAGATAGATGGAAATGCTCACCACTGCCAAGAGCTGCTGGCATTCCTGAGGGTGGTGCCATGTTTGACCCACCTATACGCCACTTCAGTTGCTGCAAACCAGGAAAGATCCTTCACACTGTGGTGCTTGACTGCTATCACCAAAGATATGGCCCAGAGGATAGGAAAACTCAACCTGAAGGTGTTGGTGGCTGGGGTGTTGGAGAGGAGAGTAATCTTTTAGCCTGCACACAACCACAGGAGGCCATACCACCTGATCAAGCCATACTGGACACATACTGCAGCCCGGGTCATTGTTGTGTGAAATGGGACACCCATCAGTGCAGGGTAAGGTCCATGATCTTCTATGATCTGCAAGGGTCTTTGCAACCTCATACTCAAACTTACTTTAACTCTAATCCCCATAATGCAAGGACGTGGGTCTCAAGGCCCTGAGAGGACTGGACTCCTGACTGACTGTGACCAAATGCCTGGACTAGAATAAAATGAGTCCCTTCACTGTCTGTAGTGATACTTTCTGACCAACTGTACTTCCCCTTTACCCCACTAAGGACTACTCCCTACTGACTTCCACACATGGCTATTTGCTGACAGGGCATGTAGTGTGTTTGCTGCGTAAGCTGCTGGCAGATGTTGTAGGTTTAACATTGATGCCATACAGTGACGTGCCCATCACTTTGACTGTTCAATATTCCACACTGTGACAAGCTGCCTGCATCACGCTCTCCATTAAAAAGCAATGCAAGTCCCAGAACTGCCACTCAATAGTGACTTTCTGAAATTACCCAGCTTGAGGGGAAAATTGCAAAAATTGTTTTTGACATCAAGATTCTGATTTCTTTTCATTTTTCCCATATTTTCTCACCTTCCTCGCCATTATTTACATCACACAATGGATGAGAAAATTCTGCCAATGATGTCAGAAATGTGCAGTTGAAATTGGGTTATTGCTCTAGTTGTAAGAGCCAGTTTCTGTAAGACTTTGAAGGAGAAAATTTTTAAAAATCAGTCTGTATCTTTGTACCGCTCAGTGAGGCAACAATACTGCAAATTTTCCATTCCCTGCAACTACGGAGGTAAAAGACAATTTGAGACAGAATAGGAACTTCTTCCAGTCTCAATGGCAAAATTGTGAGATAGCCATGGAGTGAATCAGAAACGCTAAACAAAGAAGAGGGCAGTTCTGTTATCAGTGTAGGAGGGAACAGAGCTACTAGCTGTAATACACCTGAGACCTCGCTGAGGAACAGAAAAGACATACTGCAAAAATTGTAAAGGCCTTGGAGACTCATTTTGAATGCTCTAGTAACATTATTTTTGAGCACTTTAGTTATTTTGATCATCCTGTTCGAACATCCAATGGCACACCTCTGCAGCATGTGGGACTAGAACTAGGGATACCACAGCTGTGCCACAAGAGCCTTTATGAACAGAATATACACATAATAACAGAGCTAAGGAAGAAATATTTGCAGAAGAGCCGGGCAAAAGATCAATGCCAGTGTACAGAATTGCATAGGATATTGCACAAAAGACAAGGAAACACATTCAACACAAGGTGTGCTGTGCTTAGACTTCAAGAAACTGACTCACTCAGCATGCAAGCATTCTTTTTGGAAAAAAGCAAAGCATGATTGTGAAGATGGCTACCAGAGAGACTACGGACCACGATCGTGATAAAGCAATCAGTACCATAACATATGTTGACATCTACCAATTTCAAGATGCTAAATGGGTGCAATAGTCAGAACGATGACTGCAGAAGAACAGCAATAAGTGAGTGTGAAGTGACAGATAAACATTAGGCCTCGTTCAACATCATGTGCTTCATAGACTTGTATGAAATAGATCAAGATTGTGGCCCAAAAGTGAAACCATTGGAGGTGAAGCTGGAGCTACATGAAGGAAAGATGCTCAAACAAAGAGAGCACATGAAGCTGAGAATATCTGCCGTTCTAGATAATAGACATTAAGCAAAATCCACTCACCATAGCTCATTAAAATGTTTAATTCTTGGAATGGTAATCCTTTATGTACCTGAGGAGATTTACAACTTGCAAATAATTTACTGATACTAGCTTCAATGAGAGATTATATTAAATAATTAAATTTAAATTTGTACCAGTTATTATAGTGGGACTGGAACCCATGCTGTTATAGCATTAGCATTAGGATTATTAGATCTTGAATATCACCAATGACCATCCACACCACAAAGACTGGAAAAAGTCTGTGAAACTGTGGATAAGCTAAGTTATGTAAATATCCACTCCCTTAAAAATTAAAACCAAAAATTGCTTGCCTGATTCTGAGAGTTAAATCTGTTCTCGCAACTTCAATAACTGTTTGCTGACAGAAACCCAAGTGTGATCATTGTTTTTTTCACTACTTATCTGCTTCCACAACCTATCGTTATCGCAGTGGTGGTGGGATGGAGGTGTGGTGCTGTAAATTCACTGTTTCATTGACAACTCAAAGAGATTATTAAAAAATTAGCTGCTAATGAAAGCAAATGTTTAATTTTTGTCAGGGGCTAAGTGTTTGGGATTTAAATGTATCAAATCGGCATTTAAGAATGAGTTTTTTTATATATTGTGAAGACTGTAATAGATACTTAGAACAATATTTTGCTTCATCTCAGCATTGCTTCTGAAGTCTGCCTATTGTGGATATAAGTTACGTGGAGGGTTTAAGAACAAAGAATGGTGGCAGGTGGTGGAGGGTTGGGGAGCATAAGTTAGCAATACATTATCATAGGGAATTGAAAGGGACCATTGGGATGGATGGGCTTGCATTAAGCTGGCATGCTAGCTATAAGGGACTATGGCACATACCACTAACAGAACGAACAGTCCCCTATTTGTGGTTCTTTATCCCTGAGCAAAGTTGACTGAGCCAGGTGAGTTCCTCACTCCGTGCACTTGCCCCTGTCCTGGAACTGAAAATCCAGACCATATTGTCAGGTGAAGTGCTGTGAACCAGTCTGTGCAGATGATTGTTGGTCCCCTTGTGCTAATTTTGTGTCTCTGTCTGTCATATATTCCATAAGAACAGGACAATTGTCTAGCTGTGGATGACATTTTTGGCAGCATTGCCTCCATCATCATTCATTGCTTCAGTTGTTTATCAGTTCTGTCGAATGTTACTTGTTCAGCCTGAATTTCTTTCTCTACAAGAGTTTGGTGGTACCCTTGGTAACATTGTGAATATTGGTATGCATTGCAAATCATCCACAATGACTTTAACACGATGTCAAGAATTATTAACATACATTAGCATCTTTTTGCTTCCATTAATCACCATTTCTTTATTGATTATGTATGTTTCTTGTACATCAGTTTAACTTCCAATTAATAACAACAGATGCCATGATAAAATGCTATTTTACGCGCATTGCGTCTCGGGGATGGTAAATACATGTTTGGAGGCAAAAGAAACCTCTGCTTTTGAGAATTGGCCTGACATCTGTTTAAATCTCAGTGCAGTATAATATTTGAGATAACAAGGTGTAGTGCTTGATGAACACAGCAGGCCAAGCAGCATCAGAGGAGCGGGAAGGCTGACGTTTCAGGC